GCAGGTGATGGACTGAACTGACTCTGCACTGGCTGACACACAGAGGAGTCAGGGCCTGGGGTCACCTCAGGCGAGATTTCTTGGGAACCCCTCACACTAACTGGACCACTTAACTGAAAATTCTTGCCACAGGGAAAATCACAGGATTTGTGGTCTAACCTTGGACCACACATACTGGGACTAGGCATCTTCATTTTCTGATGCTTGTGCAGTGGACAGCATGCCCAGATGCACAGGGTGGACATGACAGCCAGCTCATTCAGGTCTGCAGAGGACATTGAGTGCCTCTTCAGAGGATGGAGAGCAGAACAGGTTGGACAATTCTCTGGGCCTAGTCTCCAGCCTAATCAATGATCCATATGTGCATGCATCCTTCTCAACTATGTAAACAACATTAAAAATAAAAAATTTTAAAGTTGCTACATATAAAGTATTAAAATACCATCTGCCACAATTAAGAAACAGTATCACCTCCAGGATTCAAATCATTCTGGACCCAATGCTATATTACTTCCCATTCAATGAACTAACCCAGAGCTGAAGTGACTTAGAATACTCAGAGAAGACAAATCAAGCATAAGATTGCTCTAAGTATGTTAAACTCCACTGGTTTGTAGTACACCAGTCATAAAGGTAATATGCACCATGAATCAATTATGAAAAATGGATTAAGTGGAGCCCCAAATGAATAATCAAATTTTCAATATCTAGAGCATCAGATGGATGTCCTTTATGGGGTACAGATTACTTTTGGATTAGAGAAACCCATAAATAAATCCCTGAAAAGATTAACTTGACCCATGCTCACCAACAAAATTTCTGATTCTTCATTTGACTTACCAGGTAATTGGATATCAGAAAGAGTAGAGGGGTTTTCTGATGATTATACCAAAGTTTTCTCTGAGAGTGTATAGTTCCCATCAGAAAGAAACACTTAGATGAGGAGGAGAAGTTCAGATGGATATGCCTGCTCAAACTAAAGCTTAATGTTCCATAAAAGCGGAACTAAAATTCACCATGAAAGCAACATAATGTTGAGGAAACACTGGGAAAACTGGCTCACCATATGGAAGAAAATAAAACATAATTTATATCTAACATCACATATGGAACTTAGATCATTTGAAGACCTACGCATGAATGGTAAAGTTATAAAGTTAACAGATAAAAAATATATATAGACCAGTGCTATTTTTAGAAAGAGTAAATTTTTAAACAAAATTTTAAAAGCACAGTAAGATACAAGTTTACATGGATCAAACTGGAGTCAGGTGTGTCTGTAAGATGGCGTTCACTACTAAGGAACTGGAAACAACCTTGGTGGCCATCGCTAGGAGAGTAAAAAGATTCCATGAAACACTTGAGATGTACCCTGTAAAAGTATGAATAGATTTCTAAAAGACAAGTGCATAGTGATAAAAGACTGCAATGTAGTATTGTTCATATAAACTAAAAATATACGCAAATGAAATAATACAGATTATGTAATACATTCAAATCAAAAGGAGCATATTTACTGCCTACGGGATAGAGTTATGGTGTTAAAAATGGAATGGTTGGGTAAATGAATGGATGGATATGAAGGTGCTTTAAATTTGCCGAAAAGTGAATTTAAAGGTTTACCTGAATGTAAAAAATTTGAAATTAGGGACTGGTGTTGTGGCACAAGCTGCTGCTTCAAATGTTGATATCCCATATGGATGCCTGTTCAAGTCCCAGCTGCTCCATTTTTAATCCAGCTCCCTGTGAATATACCTAGGAAAGTAGTAAAAGGGAGCCCAAGTGCTTGGGTTTTTGCAGCCATTTGGGAAATCTGAGTGGAATTCCAGGCTCCCAGCTTTCACTTGGCCCAGCATTGGGCACCATGTCATTTTTGGAGAGAACCAGCAGGTGGAAATCTCTCTCTTTGTTTCTTTGTCTCTCTCTTTCTTCCTCTCTCTGTAACTCTGCCTTTCAAATAAATACCTATATCTTAAATTGTTTTTTATCTAGGCATAGTTTTTTTCATATTATGCATTTTTCACAAATGTGTTGAAGACTTATTGTATGCAGGAATTTCAAATATTTTTAAAAGATTTATTATTTATTTTTATTGGAAAGGCAGATATATAGAGAGGAGGAGAGAAGAAAGGAAGATTTTCTATCTGATGGTTCACTGCCCAGAGTGACCGCAACAGCTAGAGCTGAGCTGATCTGAAGCCAGGAACCTGGAGCTTCCCACATGGGTGCAGTGTCCCAAGGCTTTGAGCCGTCTTCAACTGCTTTCCTTGGCCACAGGCAGGGAGCTAGATGGGAAGCAGGGCCACTGGGATTAGAACTGGCACCCCTATAGGATCACTGCACAATCAAGGCGAGAACTTTAGCCACTAGGCTACCATGCCAGGCCCAGTAATTTCAAAAAAAAATTTTTTTTTCACTAAAAGAAACTTTATCAAAGAGGAAGTTATGGCGCAGTGGATTCAACTGCTGCTTGGGATGCCTATATTCCATATCAGGAGCTGTTTTGAATCCTGGCTACTCTTCACTTTTGATCTGGATTCTTACTAATGCACTTAGGAAGCAGCAGATGATGGTCCAAGTATTTGGGTTCCTGAAACCAACATGAAAGATTGCAATATAGCACATGAACCTGCTGCTGTGGGCATTTGGAGAATGACCCAACAGTTGAAAGATCTCTTCCAGACTTTCTCTCTCTTTGCCTTTTAAGTAATAAATACACAAATCTTTTTCAAATAAATTCATTATTTTTCATTTGAGAGGCAGAAAATGGAGAGAACATGCGCTGGCTTCCATGTACTGGTTTAGTCTTCAAATGCCTGCAACAGGGTTTAACCTCAAAGCTGGAAATTCAATCCAGCTCTCCCACATTGGTGGCAGGAACCCAGTTATTTAAGCCATTGCCACTGTGTCTCAGAGTCCACATTAACAGGTATGAAATCCAGGCACATCCTAACCAGAATCTTAACTCCAGGCCAAACATTAACACCTATATTTATCTTTTAATTCCATTTTCCACTAACTTTTTGAAGATTCCTCATATAATAATAGGATAGAGTGGTTTTCATGATACCAGTAATGAAAATTATTCATTGGCTGAAGAATATCAACCCTCTGCACCTAAAATGCAAAAGTAAATGTGTGAATTAACACATGCAGGCAACACGTATAGGGACACATTTATAAACACACATGTATAAATGTACAATTTTGAAAGTTAAAAGTGAATATGTCAATATCCTGGCTTGTTCATGTCGTTTTCTTGTGATTTCTTGTAGACATCCTGACAAAACTGAATCTTAAGGCCTGCCAGGTAGAACCAGACCTGTATACCACTCAAAGCCTGGCAGCCCACGTCATGCTAGACCATTTGTACCATGTGTCCTTCTGAATATTAACCACTAGCTTAACAGATTTTAGATATTAAAGTTAGAGTTCGCCTTTCTGTCTGGTTAGAACATTTTCTAACACACAAGAAATAAGACATTCATTTTTATTTCTTTTGTTACTGTTTCATTATCTGATTAAGTTCTTCAGCTCATAGAAGCAAAAGGAGTTATATGGTTATTAATAGTATCAACCCCGTTTGTACTAATGACTGCCACATTGTCAGTAGTACCACCGATATAATTTTCCATATAGATTTTTGGAGGGTAGATAACTTGTTCTATGTATTAGAAATTACTCGTGGTATTTCAGGGGTAACATTTAGGGTGAAGATACTGTAAATAGAAATCTACCTCACTGGATCATAGACTGGCATTTCAAATGGAAAAAAATAGTGTGTCTATAAATGGAAGAGAATGTTTGCACAGGAGGCCAACTGCTGCTTTCAAATTAACCTTGATGTTAGGATGTAACCCTTTGCTCACAAGAACATTAAATAGGTTAATTTCTAACCATTTGAAATTCACAGGGCATTGGGAGCAAAATTATGAAACTTTCTTGGTCAGCTTGAATTTGAAAATTCCATAATATAAAGTATTGAATAACAGGTCCAAGGTAATCCCTTTTGGCCTGGATTTTTACAAAGGAAAGTTGTAAAATGTATAACCCATACAGTAAGGGAAAACAACAACGTAAGTGATGAGAACTATTAAAATATCTGCCTGCTATAAAAATCCAAATGAATATACAGTAGCTTTCATAATAACCAATAAAGAACTTAGAGCAGCCAAAATCATGTCTAAGTTATGTGCTTTTTTATAGATTTAGTCCAGTTCTAAAGGAAAGTTATGGCTTTGTGGCTTCATGCTTTCTTTCTCTTAAAATGTCATTTGTATGCATGCAAGTGTAACTCACTGTTATGGACTGGTATTCCAGTTTGCCTGTAGGCTAGACTAGTTGAGAATGAACTTTGCAGGAGCCAGATCTCCAGACTCTTATCTCCTGTCAGATATTGGGCCTGAAGGCAAGATTGGAACAATTTCTGATTGTGTGCTCATCAGATGAAAATCTGTGACCAAAGTCACTGCAGTTCTAGAAATAGAATGTGGAATCAATCCAATCAAAATGTCAGTATTGAAATAGTTCAATAAAAGGAGTTCTCAGAGGAAACAAGTTTTCCTAGACAAACAGAAGGAGGAAAGTAGTTAAAAACAATTTCTAAATTGATAGATATGACATTATTTAACCAATTGCAAAATAATAATAATATCCTAATCACTGTTACTTGCCTCCTGGAGTTTTCCAATGTGGGAACAAAATTAAAAAAAGAAAAAACAGAGAAAGGCATTGAGATGAATAGAAAACCTCAACTCCGAGAACTAATTTTGAGAAGATTTTTCCTTACCCCTGTCATGTGGGCTTTGGGTAAAGAAAGTCACATAAGCTGACTATATGATTCATCATGTAGATATACTGCGAATGAGAGAGAATACTGTTAGTAAATATGCAGGGTCAATAGTTATAAACCAGAGCATCCCAGGCAAATGTACAGTTTCCCAAACTGTAAATATGGCGTTTATAACCAAGATAGTGGAGCAACACTTAGGTGAGTGGATGCATAATCGGAGCTTTATTCCTTTAACTTAACTCACCAAGGAGATTGAATCATTTTCCATAAAATTACTGCTAGGAGTAAACTCATTCGTAAATTGTTTAATCTGGAGAAACATTTTACAGTCTTCCTAGAAGGCAATGTTGGACAGAGTTTGTAGCCTGTTGGTAGAATTCTGAACTGATTTTGGCTGAGGAAAGAGGGAAAGAGAATTAGATGAAGGAAGCTGGAGAAATCTCGAGATGCCCTTGTTCATTACTTGAAAAACTCACCCCTGTCCAGAGAAGTATCCAAGGCAACCATGCAGCCACCATTGTGGGCAGTTTTCCCAGGCCCAGGAGACACAGGCATTCCCCTAAGGATCCCATCTCTAGCAGAGAAGAGAGCATGATCTCCCAGCTCTTCATGAATCACCCTGCTCCAAATAATCCAGCCTGGAAGTTCACAGGGTAACAACCATCCTATTTTATTTTATGATTTTATTTTGTTTTATCATTTTACTTTGTGAATTTATTTTATTTTATTTGTTTAAGTTGAGTAATTGATTTCCTTTCACATCCCAGAACCAGACAGAAAAGTCTCTGGTCTACCACTGAGTTTTCATGGCCCCACATTCCACTTAATGGGAGTACCAGGAAAGAGCAGAGGAAGAACTCTGCGTTAACCATACAACCCATCCTTTCTGCCAAAAATGTTAAGGAATCATTTTGCAGGTCTTGACTCTGAGCAATTTATAGCTCAGTTTTGATTACTATTTACCATGAATCCATAGTATTAAAAGTAACCACAAAATAAATAAATAAAAAGTTAAAATTTCTAGACTGTCATTTGAGCCATTTTTGACCAGTAATTTACATCAACCCCATCCTTGTTTTTCACAACAGGTTATACAAGCAAGGTAATAGTCAGGGACCACTCACTTTTTATAAATATATAAATGAACTGGTGGATGTCTCAGGAGAAGATTACAGGTTTTTATGTAAAGCTACTTTCAAAAATAAGGTCCTGAAATAGAAACTTACAATCTGAGCAGAAGTTAAGTGGCTCCAGAATTCCTGTACCAAGGCAACCTGTTCAAAAAATCTTCTAGGGGAAATGCATGTTCCATAAGAATGTTGAGAACCAGAACCCATTCTATCATCAACCACAGCAGGCTTTGCCATCAATATCAGTCACATCCAGTAGGAATTTCTGTGTATTACGTATGCTTTTTGACAGTTACTAATAGCTAAGTGTGGCTATTTAATACTTGGGGCTGGATTTGTGGCATAATGGATTAAGCTGTCACTTGCAATGTCAGCATCCTATATAGGCACTGGTTCAAGTCCTGACAATTGCACTTCCAATCCAGTTCCCTGCTAAGGCACCTGGAAAGGAAGCAGAGGATGGCTCAAGTCATTGGGCCTCTGCACCTACATGGGAGATTTGAATGAAGTTCATGTCTTGTTTCAGCCTGGCCTAGTCCAAGACATTGAGGCGATTCAGTTGGAAGATCTCCATTTCTCCCTCTCTCTTTAAGTCTCTGCCTTTCAAAGAAATACAATAGACCTTTTTTGTTTGTTTGTTTGTTTGTTTGTTTTTAGCAGACTATGTCAGAACAAGGAGTGAAGATGCATCAAATCAAATCAAAGCTGGATCCCCAATGAAACTGTTAAATAACATCTTGACCAATAGGATGCTAGACTTTCTCCCATTGTCTATACCTACAATGTCAGGATAACTTAAATAGCAGAAAGATGGACTTACAACTGTTTTTGAAGGACTACCCTGTTGTAATAATATAGGGAAAATCAGTGGGGGAAGGAGCATTGGGAGGGGAGGGAAATCCCTAAGCCTATGAACTGTATCATAAAAATTTTTTTAATTAAAAAATTTTCAAGATTTATTTATTTTTATTGGAAAGTCATATTCACAGAGAGAAGGGGAGAGAGAGAGAGAGAAAGCTCTTCCATCTGCTGGTTCACTCCCTAAGCAGCAGTAATGGCCCAAGCTGAGCTGATCCAAAGCCAGCAGCCTGGAGCTTCTTCCAGGTCTTCCATGTGGCTGCAGGGTCCCAATGCTTTGGGTCTGCCTCAACTGCTTTCCCAGACTACAAGCAGGGAGCTGGATGGGAAGTGGAGCAGCCAAAAAATGAACCAGTGCCTATATGGGACCCCGGCACATGTAAGGTGAGGATTTTAGCCATTAGGTGATCGTGCCAGTCCCATAATTTCTGTTTTTAATACTGGAAATTTGGCCAGTACAACTAAGGAACTGAATTCTTAATTGTATTTCATTTTAATTAATTTCAGTTCAAATAACCACATATGACTAACAATCTACCTGTTGGGATGGCACAAATCTAGACTCTACAGCAACCTAAAGGAATCAGTTCAACATCCTCTTTGAATTTAGCAAGGAATCTGGTAAGATTTGTTAACTTTATATTTTAATTCTGTAAGCCACAAACACAAACACTAAAACTCCTATTAAATTCCCTCATATCTTCACAGTGGCCTTTCATCCCTCCCTACCTTCACCAAATACTGTTAAGACCTCAACTGTTGATACTGTATTTTCACTCACTTAGTTCCAAGTCTCATGGCCAGTTTGTAGCATTTCTGCTCCAGGGCTTCTATATTCACAATCCTCTGTTCCAGATCTGTTTTTTCCTAGCTATGCAGGATTTGTTCTGTCCCCACCTTCAAGCTAGTGCTCAAATATTTTCTCAGTGAAGGCTATCCCTTCTATTTAGAAGCCCACCATCCCACACATACCCTTTGTGCCGCTCTCATTTTTTCTCTTTATTGTTTATCCCTGTCTAATGGACTTCAGGTATGATTCCCTTATTTATTTTGTCTATCTCCCCAACTAGAACATGAGAGTAAGGATTTTTGCTTTGCTTCCTTCTGTAGTCAGTGGTAAATTCACAAATGTTTACCAGCTCTTTCAGTGTAAGGAAACACTGATTTGTAACGTTTCCTAGTTTTCTATAGTGTAAATACTCCTACGAGGGCCAATTTGAAGTTATCAATACGAAGTTATCAAAGATAGAGTTGGGAAGGTATATGCATGGACAGATTGTAGGTCAAGCAAGCTCCAGGACATTACTGGAGCTATAACCCCAGCTGCTAAAACATCTAGAAAGCAAAAGCATAAACATTTATTAAAGAATTCATTTCTAGATAATCATCCATACAACTGAGCCAGATTTTTAAAGTTCTCTTTGGCCCAGCAATTAGGATGCCCACATCTCTTTTGGAAGAGGCCTGGATTGGAGTCCTATCTCTGCTCACAGGTGCAGCTTTCTGTAATGTACACCCTGGGAGGCAGAAATGATGCATCACATAATTGGGTTACTACCACCCACATGGCAAGGGGGAGGGACCTGGAATGAGCTCCCAGTGGCATTTGGGAAGTATCAAGACAGAAAGTTCTCTCTCTCTCTTCAAAAAATAGGTTTCTAAAAGTCCCGCCTCTTTTTAGAATAATAGAAATACACAGGTCAAATGACCTTACTCAGTCAAGAGGATGGGAGAGAGTTATTAATTCACTTTGTGATTTGATAAAAATGAAGAACTTCCACCCCAACCATTTCCACCCCTAGTGCAGAGTGTGCTCAATTTTTTAGAGACTATTGGATTTTGTTCAGGCGAAAGGCAGTCAGGGAAAAGGAGACAAGAGAGTGATTCACCAGGTTAAGAATTTGGATGTTCTTAGTTGTTTCAGTTTCTTAACCCAATGACTTTACAGACTCTAAGTCAAACAGTAACACATGAGGAAGTGTAATTTAAAGGTTCCCATATCCTCTGTTACCTACAAATGAGCTCACAATGTTCTGACCTTTGAGTATATTTCTCCGCTTTTTTTAAACCACATCACTTTCCAAGAATAATAAAATTGCCCCATCAGTAATAATTGCATGTAGGGACACTGATTCTTACAGAAAAGGGATGCTTCAGCCTGTCCCATATGTGGTTTGGTTATGCTCCATTTGCAGTTCCCAGGCTTTACTATGGGGCTTTTGAAATTTAACTGGGCTAACAGCTGGATGATAACTGGAGGGGTAAAAACTGGGCTAACAGCTGGAGAAGTCCCCTGGGGGTTCCCGGCGTGGGAATTTTTGGTCTTCACTAATACCCTAAGGAGTCCTCACCATCAACAGAGCCCAGTTAACCTACCTCCTCAAGGGGGTGAGTCCCTCCCAGCCTGAAGATCCAGGGGAAGTAGTGACACCAGGGCATTCAAGTTGGAAAACTACTGAGGACCCTTCAACTCATCTTATTTCTCCCCTCTTCTTAAAGAACAAGAAGTTGTCACAACACTTCAGTTATGTTCCTAATCTAGTCACAATGGTTCCAGTTCTCATCAACAAGTGTAAAAATGCCACTCAAACAGCAGAATATGTCAAAGGCTGTCTTTCCAAGATTACAATGAAAAGGAAACACATTTACCCTTTGAAAATATTCAATATGGTTTCCATTTTAGGAAAATTTGGGAAAATTTTAGAAAAATATTCAATCCAGTTTTCATTTTAGGAAAATTGTGGAGAAATTCTAACAACCAGATAGGTTCTGTTTCTGTGCCAATTTACTGGCTCTTAAAATGATGATTGTATATCACTCTTTCAGTTTCCTATTAGATTTTTTTCCCATTTTTTATAAGTATTCAACCAAAACTTGTGTCTACTCTATGGCTAGTACTAGGAATAGTAAGAATAGCAAGCAAAACAACCTCTACTTGCAGTGACCTGGGGACACATACCAGTAAACAAGCAATACAGACATTTCCTAGAAGCAAGGGCACCCAAACTGAGACCCAAAGGAGTAATGGTGTTGGAGTCCCCAGGGACTCACGTGCAACAATATAGATGGATTTCACAAACACAATGTTGAGAGACAAGAGGCACAGAAAGAGGTGTATAGGATAATTCCAATCTTCTGAAGTTTAAAAAGGGACAAAACTAACCTGCAGTTAATTCAATTACTCTTGGGAGCAGCTAGCAGAAGATACCAGAAGGATCCCTGAGGAGCCAGCAATGCTATTTCTTCAATGGGTGCTGCTCTCCCAGATGTTTAAGTTTGTGAAAGCTCAACAAAGCACACACATCTTCCTGTCTGTATCATATACTTCAAGAAAAAGTAAAATTGGAAGCAGGAGTTATAGTGCAGCATGTTAAATCACTGCCTGGGATGCTTTCATCTCATATCAGAGTACCAGTACCAGTTCAAGTTTTAGCAGCTTTCCTTCTGATCGAGTTTCCTATTAATCTGTCTAGGAGGAACAAATGTCTCAAGGACTCATGTCTCAAGTCCCTGCCAACCGGGTGCCACAGGAGATGCCTACACAGGATTCTGGGCTCCTAGCTTTGGTCTGGCCCAGTACAGCTGTTGCAAGCTGTTGCAAGCTGTTGCAATGTTAGTAAGCTAACACTGAAATGTCTCTCTCTGTCCCTTTCTCTCTCCTATGTTCAAATAAATAAATAATCCTTCGTTTAAAATGATGAAACAGGGCAAAATGTGATCATTCAGTGGCTAAATCCCTGCCTTGCACTTGCCAACATCCATTCATGTACTGGTTGCGCCACTTCCCATCCAGCTCCCTGCTTGTGGCCTGGGAAAGCAATAGGGGACAGCCCAAAGCCTTGGGACCCTTCCCCTGTGTACGAGATCTGAAAGAAGCTCCTGGCTTCTGGCTTTGGATCAACTCAGCTCTGGCCATTGCAGCCATTTAGGTGGCTTGCTCTCTGTCTCTCCTTCTCTCTGTAAATCTGACTTTTCAATAAAAATAAATAAATCTTTAATAAAAAGATGACAGAAGGGCTGGCACAGTGGTCTAACAGGGTGGTCTTTTGCCTGTGGAGCCAGCATCCTAGATGGGCACAGGTTCTGGTCCCAAATTCACTTATTATCCAGTTTCCTGCTTATGACTTGGGAAAGCAGCAGAGAATGGCTTAAGTCCATGGCCCCATGCACCAAAGGGTCCAAGAAAAGACCCAGAAAGCTCTAGGTTCCTGGCTTCAGACCACTCAACCCCAGGCATTGTGGCCATTTGGGGAGTGAACCAGTGAATGGACGATCTTCTTCTTTCTCCTTCTTTCTCTCTCTCTCTCTCTTTTTCCCTGTCTCTCCTTCTCTTTGTAAATTTGTCTTTCAAATAAAAATAAGTCTCCAAAAGTGTAAAAAGCAGTGTAAGTAAACAAAAGTTTAAAGAATACACAGTGCTCTTTTCTATTCAGAGGTTGTAAAACACTTCCCACTCTTCCCTATTTCCTGAGCTCCACCTTCTACAGTTAAATTTTAAACTCATCATCTTAAATTTGAATCTTGTGACAGTGGGCCACCTCCCTACATGTAATTTAAAGTGATATTTCTAGTTCAGCTGATCAAAATGGCTGGAAATGACTGGGCTGCACTTGTTGGTTGGGTCACACATGAATGCCTAGGCTAAGCTAGTGGTATCACATGGCCCTATCATCATGATCTCTGGCACGTACACTTGACACAGAATGCTAGATGTAGGTTAATGAAAAACAAGAAAAAGTGGAGAGAGTGGTTAATAATGGCACGACCTGTTAATGATACAATATAATTATGGGCTTTATATTTTCAGTAAAGATCTTCTAGAGGTCAGCCTACATACGTTTATGAATGTAACATTCCTGCTAAACCACATATTTGATAAAATGCTAATATTAAATATAAATTTATTTTTATAAATTAATGTTCCCACTTATTTTGGGGAGAAAAAATCACTGATTTATGAGCAAATGTTTTCCTTTTATATCTTGCATATAACAGGAGTTACAGTTTAAGCCAAGAATCCTGATTCTTCCCTGAGCAGTGGTTTCATAGAATCATAGTAAAATACAGCCAAAGATGCCATGAAGAAAATATCCCACTGTGTAACAAATGGTACTATCCAAATCCAAGCCTAAGAGTATACTTGTGTATCACCCAAGCAATCAATTGGGCCCAGCGTGATGGCTCTGTCCCAGCTGTTCTACTTCCCACCCAGCTCCCTTCTTGTGGTCTGTGGCCTGGGAAAGCAGTAGAGGATGGTCAAAGCCTTGGGACCATGCACCTATACGGGAGGCCTGGAAGAAGCTCCTGACTCCTGGCTTTGGATTGGCTCAGTAGTGAACACTACAGCTACTTTTTGAACTAGCAAACGGAAAATCTTTTTCTATGTTTTTCCTTCTCTTTGTAAATCCACCTTTCCAATAAAAAAATAAATATATTGAAAAAAAAACAACCAATTGCACTTACTTGACTTCTCAGATAGTTGATTAATCTGGAGTTTCCTGTAAGTACGCAGCTTGGATTCTAAAAGTCCAGACTGGTCTTAACACATCAGTAGGTAATGCTGTAATGCCCAGGTAAGAAAATCACATCAGTTAATTCAATTGGAATCAGAGGCAGAGTCTAGAAATATATGAGTCAGTCTGCTGTGCTGTGCAAGTTTGGAAATGGACCAAGTTTTGTCTTCCAGTAATAACTAAAATCAATCAGTGCTCCCTGAAATCAAACTGATTTGTATAGACAGTAACACCTGTAATTACACTTGAACAACTGAACAATTAGCTTATTTCCTTAGGAATTTTTATTTTTCAAAGATTTGTATATTTCTTTAAAAATCAAAATTATAAAGCAAAGGGAGGAATGGTAAAGAAAACGAGAGGAAGAGGGAGAAATCTTCCATTCACTGATTCTCTGCTCAGTTGGCCACAGTACCTGGGGGCTGGCCAAGGCTAAAGCCAGGAGCTTGGGGCTCCATCCATCCAGATCATCGATGTAGGTGCAGGGCACCAAGCATTTGGGCCATTTTCTGCTGATTTTGCAGGCTCCATGTCAGGGAGTTGCCCTGGAAGCAGAGAAGCAGGGACTTAAACCCAGAACTCATATGGGATGTCAGCATTCAAAACTGTGGGTTTACTGCGCTGTACCACAATGCCTGTCCCAGGAATTACAATTCCACTGTACAAAATAGCCTACATGTGTAATAATATATTGATTTATAACACTATCTACATTTATTTATTTTTAGTGTAGAAATATATCCTGGAGGGAAACAAAAATTCAAACTATTATAAGTGACTCACTTCATAAATTAAGTTTTCCAGAAAGTTCTGTAAACTTTAAAATTTGTTTATATATCCATGTAGTATATAAATCCTTAAGAATAAAGAAAAATCATTTTAGTACAAAATAGTCATAGTATGGAATCTAGAATTTGTAAGCAATGGCCCAGCATGATAACCCAGTTCCCCAAATCCTAGCCTTGCAACCACCAGGATCCCGTATGGGTGTTGCTTCATGTCCCAGCTGCTCCACTTTCCATCCTGGTGGCCCAGCTTCCCATCCAGCTTCCAGCTTGTGGTCTGGGGAAGTAGTCAAGGATAGCCCAAAGCCTTGGTACCCTACAGCTGCGTGGGAGACCTGGAAGAAGCTCCAGGCTCCCGGCTTTGGATCAGATCAGCTCCAGCCATTGCAGCCACTTGGGGATGAAAGATCTTCCTTTCTGTCTCTTCTCTCTGTATATCTAACTTTGCAATAAAAATAAGTAAATTTTAAAAGAAAAGAATTTATAGGCAAATCAAAATCCAAAGAATCAGTTTTATTTGAAAGTAGACCCAGCTACTCTTCAAAAAAACTTGTGTATGTTTTAGAAGACTCTCAGAGATGATTTGGTCAAATACAAAAATATTCACCATAACACAGACTTTTTTACAATTGGCAAACATTTCTTAATTTAGTAAACATTTATTGAATATCCAAAGTGTTGGAAATGGAAATTGAATCAACTGAATTTGAATTTCTGTCGCATATCTTGTTGGAAGGTTTCATACATACAATTTTACCTTCAAATTTCCTCACCTATAAAAGAAGCAATAATCATTTGCCTAATAAAATGGCTTGAAATAAATCAAACTAACAATATATACAAATGTACTTAACAATGTAAATAATATCAACTCAAAAAACAGCTTATAAGACATTATGAAACCTTACATTCAAGAAGTTCCTCTGTAGAAGCCTTATGAAAAGCTCCTAAGTTGTCCAAAGCCTGAATTTTGGTCTTTTGCCTTGGGTATTGTGCTGCCCAAAAACTGTGAGCATGAGAAGTCCTTTCTTTTAATATTTCCATTTATTCTCTTCTGAACACTCCCTGATCAACGCACTTTTCAATAGGAAGTCATTCTGTCAAGAGCAGCAATAAATATATGTGAATCAATAAACCAAATATACCGTACTAAAGACACAGGTGACAGGTTGCTTCTGTGCTTCCAAGCATGTCCATTGAACCAGGAGGCATTCAAGGCATGTATATTGCTCAAGGAGAAATAACTCATAAGTAGGTATCACAAGAGGAAGGCATCTAACCATAGCAGGAAGTCTCTGAAAAAATAAGAATCAGAAACACACAACAGCCAAATCACTAGAGGGCGAGACACTTACTGAGATTATAGTGGTAATGTTGATTATTCCTGCAAAAAGGGTAGTAAATAGACTGATTTCTCCAAGTTGTATTTAGAGCAGATATCAGACACATATACCCAACACCAGAACCACAATCACTGGATAAAAACCAGCAGACTCCAACAATCACACTTCTGAATATGAATTTAAAGAAACTGAACCCAGTCAAAAAGATACATTCATCTTAGTTTTATTTGCAACAGTCACTACATGAAAACACTCAAATTCCTTGTCAAGGATGAATGGATAGAAAAAACATATAGGAGCAGGCATTTAGCCTGGTAGTTATGACAGCCATGTTAAAAAAAAAAAAAAAAGATGATCATGTCCACAACAGAAACTTGGGTTTGATATTTGGCGCTGGCTTCTAATTCCACCTTCCTAATAATGCAAACACTGAGGGCAAAAGATAATGACTCAAGTGATCAATTTCCAAGGCATCCACATGGGAAATCAAGATTGTGTTCCCAACTCCTGGCTGTGACCCTGGCCCAACCCTGCCACTGCAGGCATTTGGGGAACGAACAAGTAGGTAGCACTTTTTTCTCACAAACAAAAGTAAATAAATCATTTTCAAAATCTAAATGCTTATTCAAGAAATACATGGTATACACACACACACAAATACTATAGGATATTACTCAGTCTTTTTTTTTTAGATTTATTTATATTTGTTGGAAAGGCAGATATATAGAGAGGAGGATAGAGGGGAAGATCTTTCATCTGATGGCTTACTCCCCAAGTGGCTGCAATGGCTGGAGCTGAGCCAATCTGAGCCAGGAGCCAGGAGCCAGGAGCTTCTTTTGGGTCTCCCACATGGGCGCAGGGTCCCAAGGTTTTGGGCCGTCCTTGACTGCCTTCCCAGGCCACAAGCAGGGAGCTAGATGGGAAGCTGGGCCACTGGGATTAGAACTGGCACCCCTAAGGGATCCCAGCGCATTCAAGGCGAGGACTTGAACCACTATGCTATTGCGCCAGGCCCTCAGTCTTTAAAAAGCAAGAAATTTGAGACAGGCATTGCAATGCACTTTAACAGCAGCTTGGAACACCCACAATGCCATGTGGAGAGCTGGTTCCAGTCCTGGCTGCTCTGCCTCCTATCCAGCTTTCTTATGTGCATATTAGAAGGCAGCAGAGGGTGGCTCAGTTGCCTGGGCTCCTGCCACCCACTGGGGAGACCCAGATGGAGTTCCTAGCTCCTGATTTTGGTCTGGTCCAGCCCTAGCCATTGCAGGGCTGTGAACCAGCAAATGAAAAACACAAGCTTGCATGCTCACTCGCTTGCTCTCTACACTCTTTGCTCTAACTTCCAAATAGGTGAAAATAAAGAAATGAACATTGAAAAAATAAAAAGCAGGAAATTCTTTCACTTGTAATAATGTAGATGAACCTAGAAATTATGAAGCGAAGCGTATTAAACCAGGTACAGAAAGCCAAACACTATATTGTCTCACCCATATGTAGAATCTTTTGAAAAGGCTTACTTATAGAAGTAGAGATCAAGTAGGTTACCAGAGGCTGGTGGGGTGAGGTTAGGAATGGATGAGAAAATGGGTCACAGGGTAAGAAATTTCAGTTACATGGGAGGTGTAGGCTGTGGCGTTCTATTGCAGAGCATGGTGCCTATAGTTTAAAACGAGTGTTGTGCATTTCAAAATAGCTATAAAAATAAATTATAAATATATAAACTGTAACTATTTCAAATGTTGGATGTTAATTAGCCTGATTTAATCATTCCCCTATGCATGCATGAATTGACGCATCATATTGAACCTCATAAATATATACAGTTATTTTTTGTTAATTAAAAAACAAATCTTAAATAGTTGGCCTGGGATGCTTTGTCTCACTTCTGAAGAAAAGCGACAGAAAAAAACAGTCTTACCCACAGCCTGCTTGGGTCAAAATTCCAGTAAATTCTTTGGGTTCAGCAGTAAAAAAAAGTTGGCTTTTCTCTACCATTAGTTCCCAACTCTTCGGTGTACAAATGCCCGTGGACATTTAAAAATAAGCTGATAGCAGCCCAGCGCGTTGGTGTAGTGGTTAAAGTCCTCGCCTTGCACATATGGGCTCCGGTTCTAGTCCCGGCAGCTCCACTTCCCATCCAGCTCCCTGCTTGTGGCCTGGGAAAGCAGTCGAGGACAGCCCAAAGCTTTGGGACTCTGCATCTGCATGTGAGAGACCCAGATGAGCCTCTGGGCTCCTGGCTTTGGATTGGTTCAGCTCCAGCCGTTGCAGCTGCTTGGGGAGTGAATCATCGCACGGAGGATCTTCCTCTCTGTCTCTCCTTCTCCTCTTTGTGTATCTGACTTTGCAATAAGAATAAATAAATAAATAAATTAATTAATTAAATAAGCGGATATACTGTTCCTACTCCTGACCAAACACCTATCTTTTTGTGATGACATTGGGAAAGGATTTCTTTTAGTATAATTGGTTAGATTTTTTTAAATTATTTTTATTATTTTGTTGTTGTTGTTGTTAAAGATTTAGTTTTTATTAGAAAGGCAGAGAGAAGTAGAGACAGAGAGAAAGATATTCTGCTTGCTGGTTCACTCCTCAAGTGGCCAAAACGGCCAGAGCTTAGCTGATCTGAAACCAGGAGCCTCCTCCAAGTCTTCCACATGGATTCAGATCCCAAAGCTTTGGGCTGTCCTTATGGCTTTCCCAGACCACAGGCAGGAAGCTAGATGAGAAGTGGAGCAGCCGGGACTAATGGATGCAAGGTGAGAACTTCAGACACTGGGCTGTCATGCCAATCCCTATTTTTTATTATTGTTTTATAATACAGTTTCACAGGCTCTGGAATTTCCTATCTGCCTCCCCAAGTTGCCCCCACCCATTGTTTCCCCTCTAGTATAATAATGGGTGGTTCTTCATGAGCGATCATAAGTCCATCATGCTATTATTGAGGTGTTTCCCAACATTATGAGCATGAACAATGTTGAAGAGTAATTGGTTGAGTTTTTAAAAATCACTTTGGCTTATTTGGCTAATCCTTTGCTTATAAGCCCAGCATCCCATATGGGCACCAGTTTGTATCTGAGCTATTCCACTTCCCATCTATCTTCCTGCTTGTGTCCTGGGAAACCAGTGGATGATGGCCCAGGAGACCTGGAGGAAGCTCCTAGTTTCAAATTGGCTTAGCTCTGGCCATTTTGGCTATTTGGGGAGTAAGCCAAGAGATGAAAGATCTTTCTCTCTGTCTCTCCTCTCTGTAAATCCGTCTTTCAAATAATAAATTAACAAATTTTTAAAAATCACTTTATTGAGGTATAATGTCTATGACATATTGCATACATCTAACACCTACAATTTAATGAGTTTTTATGTTGGTATGCATTTGTAAAGCTCATCACCACAATCAAGAAAACAGATACTTCCATCATGTCCCCCAAATTTCCTTGTGTATCTACATCCCATTGTTTCTTGCACCCCTATTTTCAGGGAACCATCAGTCTGCTTCTGGTCACTGTAGGTAAAATTGCATTTGCCAGATTTTCATGTACAAGCAGTTCCATAGAATATACTGTTTTGTTTTCTTGTGTTTGTTTGACTTTGTTTATTCAGAGAGATGATTGTGAGATGCCTCTACATTGCTATGTGCATCCAGGGTCCTGTTTATTGCTGAGGAAAATTCCCCACATGTATTTACATTTTCCCATCTGTTTGTTGGTGGAAATTTGGATCGTGTATTAGTCTATTTTCCATGACTATAATGAAATATGTGAGGATGGGCAACTTTATAAGGAAAAGAGTTTCATTTAGCTGACAGTTTGTGAGGTGCAAGACATGGTGCCAGGATCTGCTCAGCTCTGATAAGGACTCACCGCTATGGCATCAGGGTAGGAATGCCTGTGGGAGGAAGAGATTACATGGCCAGCTGGGAAGCCAAGGAGGCTGGGGAGTGGCCAGGGCTGTTCTCTCATAACAATCCTCTCTCGGGGCGGAGGAACTAACAAAAACTACTTTAGTCTCTAGCAAGCATCTAAAGATCCTCCTACCATCTCAACATTATCACACTGAGGACCAAGCTTTCAACACAAGAACATCAGTGGTTTAGGGAACTCTCCCAATTCTCTCCATTTTCTTACAAAGTTGTTTATTATTATTATTATTTTGCTTCACTTGATATTCCCTACTTGTTTCTCTTTTGTTTTTGTTCATATAGCTTTGTTTCCCTTCTGCTCACTTTGGACTCAATTTGCTTTTATTTTGTACTTTTTATTTTAGTTTTATTTTTTTCAAAGACAGAGAGCAAGAGACAGTGAGATAGAAAGAGTCCGCATCCACTGGTTCCCTCCCCAATATGCTTGCGGTGACTTAGAGCTGGGAACTGGGAACTTACTCCAGGTTTATGACATGAATGATCTTCCATCTGCTGTTTCTCTCCCCAGATGCCAACAGCAGCTGCCGCTGGGCCAGAGGGAAACTGGAAACTCAAACCAGCTATCTCATTTGGGTGGCTGAGACCCAAATTCCAGCTGCCTTCCAGGGTGTGTGGTAATAGCAAGCCAGAACTGAAACTGAAGCGGGACTTGAACCCAGATACTCTAATAATGGGATGTGGGCGTCCCAAGAGGTGTCAATCATTGTGTCAAATGCCCACTCAACTTCTTTTTTTTTTGTTTTAAAGATTTATTTTTATTATTTTTTTATTGGAAAGGCAGATATACAGAGAGGAGAGACAGAGAGGAAGATCTTCTGTCCAATGAGTGAGTGCAACGGCCAATGCTATGCCGATCCAAAGCCAGGAGCCTCCCCCGGGTCTCCCACACGGGTGCAGGGTCCCAAAGCTCTGGGCCGTCCTCGACTGCTTTCCCGGGCCACAGGCAGGGAGCTGGAAGGAAGCGGGGCTGCCGGGATAGAACCGGCACCCATATGGGATCCCGGGCGTGCAAGGCGAGGACCTTAACCACTGCGCCACCGCGCCGGGCCCTCAACTTCTTTTTATTAGTGATAGAGCATAGAGTTTTCTTTTTCATTCAAACTTCTTAGATGATTACAGTATGCAGTTATACAGTTATAGAACACTACTCTAAATCAGTGATTCTTAAATTTCAGTGTGCAACTAAGAATTCTTTTTGTCATTTAAAGATTATTTATTTATTGGAAAGGCAGATTTATAGAGAGAAAGAGACACAGAGAAAAAGATCTTCCATTTGCTGGTTCACTCCCCAAATGACCACAAAGACTGGAGCTGAGCCAATCCAAAGCCAGGAGCATCTTTCCAGATCTCCCATGTGGGTGCAGGGTCCCAAGGTTTTGGGCTGTCCTCTACTGCTTTCCCAGGCCACAGGTCATAAGCAGGGAGCTGGATGGGAAGTGGAGCTTGTGAAACACGAACCAGCACCCATATGGGATCCCAGCACATGCAAGGCAAGGATTTAATCACTAAGCAATCATGCTGGGCCCGCATATTAGAATTCTAAGGGAGCTTATTAAATAGATTCCTGAGCCCTACTCTCAGAGTTTCTTATTCAGTGTGCCTAGGGGGGGGGGGAAATGGAGGCAGGAAGAATCATTGACTAAGCCAAAGTTTCTCAGTCTTAGGTGCATGTCAGAATCACCTGGGGAACTGTAAAAATCTGGATACATAGGCCACTCTTTTAAAATTATCACACCATTGTGAGCACCAATGCTATAGGGTGTGAATTGGGATGAGAACACTGTGAAATTGATACTGTGTTATTAATTTGAAGAAAATTGACAAGTGAACGGAAGCCATCTAACTCTCATACAAGAGTGAAAACCTTGAGAAATAAGAGTCACTGGAGAGTCAATAGAATACAGATAAAATGGGCAAGTCAACAGTCCCATTTTTAAATTACTACACTGCACCTAATGGGACACTCAAATATTGAATCAGAGAGAATCCAATAAATGAATAAATAAGTGGCTGAGTGGACAAGTCAGTAATTCCTCCTTGAGAATAAATCTAGCTCATTGGGGTGGCCCTTATCTTCCCTAGCCAACTTGCAAGTAATGCCTAGGGGTCTCTTGTTATTCCTTAGCCAAGAGTAAAACATGATGACTTTGACATCCATAGTAATTCATTCATTAACTGCATCATTTCTTCAAGGATCTTATTGGAAAGTCAGATTTGCAGAAAGAAGGAGAGACAGAGAACAAGATCTTTCATCCACCGGTTCATTCCCCAAATGGCTGCAATGGCCAGAGCTGAGTAGATCCAAAGCCAGAAGCCAGGAGCTTCTTTCAGATCTCGTACACAGGTGCAGGGTCCCAAGGCTTTGTGCCGTCCTCGACTGCTTTCCCACACCACAAGCAGGGAGCTGGATGAGAAGGGGGGTTGCTGGGATTAGAACTGGCACCCATATGGGAACCCGGTGCGTTTAAGGTGAAGACTTTAGCTGCTAGGTCATCACACCGGGCCCTTCCCCATAAGCATTTCAAGCTTGTATGCAAAAGCATTTAGCCCTCTACATCCACCTCTCCCGTCCCCTATGGAATCTAGGGCAATAAATGCCCCAGAGCAGGACCCTGGGACCATGCCTCTCCGTCTCCCAATTATCAAATTTTATTGGCAATTTTTCTTACAGATCCAATTGCTCATACTCTGGTTCTCCCTGGCCTGGGTCAAGTGACTGCAGTTGTCCAACGGGTCTCTGGCTTCCATTTCTTGCCTGTTTCCATCTGTCTGCCACCCCAATAATCAATGCAGCAAGCTTCCAAATTGAAATGGTCTATCATTGTTCTGTCTGTAGTTTGTTGGCTCTCACCATCCACAGGATGAAGCTTCAAGTTTCAAGCAGCCCCAAATTATTTGTGATTTGGCCTCTGCCCTCTCCTCACACTTCTTCATCACCACTCCCCAAGTTTATCCATGGCCAAGGTTTTGCAGCTCTTCCAGCATCACCTTTGAACACTCACACTTCACTCTCCCGGGAGGTACACCGCTTCCTCATCCTCTGTCCTTTGCCAGGCTAACATTAACTCACCCTTCTACATTCAGTTCAGGCTCCTGGCACCCTGCTCATGACCTCCCTTTAATACTCCCATGGTATGTTGTAAAAACAAGAGAGTCCTCATTTCCCCTGAATTGTGTTTGCTCCCACCTCTGGGTGCCTTGCTAAATGTGGAACCTCAGGGATATGATCTAATATACACTAATACCATGGTCTGCCTAATGTTTGGATGTTTGGTATCCAACAGTCACCCAGCACATGATTTGAAGACCGGTTAGAACTGCTTTAGATACAAAGACACCCATCAAGTGAGCGGCAGCATAAACAAAACAAAACAAAAACCACAGAAAATTATGAAGAAAGCAGAGAACTAAAAAATGTTATTGAGCCCAGTAGAATGGCTCAATAGCTAAATCTTGGCCTTGCAAGCACCAGGATCCCCCAATGGGCATGGTTTTGTGTCCCAGCTGCTCCTCTTTCCATCCCGTTCCCTGCTGGTTGCTCCAGAAGGCAGCAAAGGATGGCCCAAAGCCTTGGCACCTGGCTTCAGGTTGGCTCAGCTCTGGCTATTGGGGCCACTTGGGGAGTGAACCAGCGGATGGAAGCTCTTTCTGTCTCTCCTTCTCTCCATAAATCTTATCTGACTTTCTAAAAATTAAGTCATTACAAAAAGAAATGCTATCAGGAAGTTAAAAACAATAAATTGTGATATGAAATGAGCAGAGGGCTCCTTTTTAAAGATTATGTCAATTTCCCCTCCCCCTAAAGTCGACATCTCAGCTACTAGGCAAATGCCAACAACCCAGACCTAGAGATTTAGGGAGAAACAGTATCCTAGTGTGGAGGGCTCTGATAACCAAGTCCAGAAGGTCCAGTGTGCAGCTCAAAATGTGGGGAGGAGTGAGAGGGCAGGCAGGGGCCACAGTGCGTAAACTCTGTAGGCCAGGGTAGAGTGGCTTTGTTCCGTGTGTGATGAGTGACAGATTTCGATTTTCATGTTTGCAAAGATCTCAAGCTATATGGCTTCATGGGATGGCAGTTTGGGGTCCAGGAACGCCGTGGGCGGATTTCGCGTGTTCAGCATTGCTGAGAGTAACGAGGATCTGCCGAAGGAGAGGGCACTCGCAGGTGTTTAGCCTGAACCCCTGGGTTGCACGCAGGGGCCGCGAGCTCGCACAGCGCGCGCCGGGGACCCGCAACAGCAGGTCCGGGACGCGCCGGGCGCACCGCTGCCACCGCGAGTCCCTCGAGGGGGTTTCCGCGCCTGGGACGGGCGGGGCCGGAAGAGGAAGTCGGCGCTGCCGTGGCGGCCGCGAGCAGCACTGCAGCTGTCCCCTCGGAGCCCGCTCGGTCGCGTCCTGCTCCACCGCCGAGGCAGCGCCGCTGAGGGACTCGGAGCCGCGCCGCAGCGCCGGCGTCCAGCGGTCGGACCGATGGAACAGCAGCGGTGGACGGCCCCGGCAGCGGCCGCCCTGCTCCGGGCCCTCCTCCTCCTCCCGCTGGTAAGGGGTGCGGGCGGGCGCTGAGCGTCCCCGGACGGGGCGGGGCCGGGGCCGCTTCCTTCACCCGTCCTCCTGCCCTCTCTCCCCCTCCTTTGGGGCTCCCCCGGCCTATGGGCTCCCTGCGCGTCCCCTCCCCTCCTGTCGCTCCCCAGCCTTCTCGAAGCCTTGACCTCTGCCTGCCTCAACTTTTCTCCCCACCTGCCCCTGTCCGGACTTTGAAAGCTTTCTGGGAGGGAGGTCTGCTGACCCCCCGGCCCTCTCCACTTCCCCCGCCGATGGACCTGAGACTTTTTGTTTGTCTCCCGTCCTGGGCTTCCCCCCCCCCCCCCCCCCCCGTGTTGGCCTTAGGTTCTGTAGTCCCGGTTATCTCTGCCGGAGGGAGGCTGGGGACCAGCTTGCCCAGCTGTGGAGTCGTCCAGTGCTCGAGCGGGGACTGAAGGGAGACGCCCCCCGCCCAGTTCCTACCTCAGTTGTGGGCTCTTTGGAGCCCACTGTGAGGGTCGGTCAGGATTCGTTTAAAATAGCTTTGACTAGAACACACCCCAGTTTTGGAGGGTCTTCAGTGGTTTTCGGTTCCCTGCCTAATTGGCGAGGTTGCTGGCTGGAGGGTGGGCTAAGCAGAAATGACACCTGAGTGTGTTCGCACGTTGTCCTTGTACAACAGCAGTCTCGTGTTGGAAGTCAGCCTCCAGACGCCTGAGCCTCTTTTGGGGGCTCCCGAAGCCGGCGTTGAGGGCTTCTGTTTCCGTGGCTTGTTCACTCGTTTCTGGTGTGGGTGTCCTGTGACTTATTTTACCCAGCGTGGCACCGGATGTGTGCCTGGACTTTTTTGTTTTGTTTTGTTTTTTTGCCACAGGGATGTGTCACTTCTCTGAAAGAGTATGTTTGGCTTACTCTTCAGTTTAAAGCGTGTGCTGTAATATCAGCTGAAAACAACCCGAGCCACAAATCCCTGAGTGCCTTTGATGTGTTCACACAGCCTTGGCAACACGAGAGAGTTTATCTAAAAATGCTTCTCTGAGAGAGGGAGAACAAGTTTTAAAACTTCGTGGAATAGATATTTTGGTGCAGAATAAATTGAAATCCATAATCTACATTTGCCATGAAAATTTTGAACACACCCTCTTTAAGATGATACCTAAATAGTTAATGTATGTACTTAAAAGAATCTGAGTGTACACGGGTATATATCCTAATAGACAAGTTATCACAGTGTTTTTGTACTCATTTTCATCTCTTTTTAAAAATTATTTTATGATACAGTTCCATAGGCCCTGGGATTTCCCTTACCCCTCCCTCACTTACCCCCTCCCATGATTTCCCTTATATTATTACTATAGTATAGTTCTTCATAAATGGTCATATAACCATCATTGCGGGCATGGACAATGGCAGAGTCCAATATCCTATTGTCAAGATATAGTTAACAATTTAAGGATATTTTCATTATGTTTGATCGAAGAGAGCTTGATGATCATGTGTCTTGAAGATCGCTTTTGGTCAGCCCTGTTGTAAGTCCTGTGCCCCTCCTGGATGTTGTTTACCAATTCATTCTCCAGATTAAGGAAACTTTTTTTTATTTCATTGTATACATTTTTAAACTCAACTTCTCTTTCTGTATGTTCTGGGACTCCCATAGCTCTGATATTTGGCTTTTTAATAGTGTCTTTTAGTTTTTGAATACTGTTTTTAGCTTGATCCAGCTTTGCTTTTTGTTTGTTTCCCCCTGGTAACAGAAAGTTATCTTCCAATTATAAGATCCTTTCTTCTGCTTCCTTCATTCTATTTTGGATACTTTTCACTGTACTTTTAATGTGCTCCACTGAATTCTTAATTTCTGATATATCAGCTTTCATTTGATTCATTCCCTGAGATATTCCTTAAATTCCTTGAATTTCTGCATTACATGCTTCTCGTTGGTGTTAAGAAGCTTTCAAACAAGTGTTTTGAATTCTGTATCCCTCATTTTCTTGAGGTCTTCTTCAGTTAACTCTGCTGTCGTTCTGTCCTCATTCCTGGAACGTGCTCTCTCTGCTTCATACTGGCTAATGTCTCTCCATCTGGTTAAATGTGTCCTTACCCTATTCCGCCATCTTGATTCTCCCTCATTTTCATCTCTTAAACCGACTTTTAGAATATATATAATCACATCCCCACTAATCCATTTTCAACACATGAATAAAAACCCAATCATATATCATATCTTCATAAACTCACAGGGAAATATTTGATAAAAGCTCCAAGTCTGCTCACCAAGACTCTAAATAGAATATTCATAGAATTTCATGGACTTCACACATTTAAAGGCCATCTCTGTTTTACATTACAGCTACCATGTGTCTCTTATGTTTTAGAATTTAGGCTTTTTGTACTGCACTGATACACTTTGTTGTGGGTCAGCACATTGCTCTGAATTGGGTGCGCCGCAGTCCCAGGGTTTGAGGTAACATTCTGTTACTCTGCAAATATTTGGTGTGTATCAGTCACATGCAGGCCACTGTGCTAATGACTGAACATCTGACAGGATACATTGTGAAATCTTTTTTAAGATTAGTTTGTTTGAAAGGTAGAGTTACAGAGAGACGGAAAAAAGAAAAGAGAGAGAGGGATCTTCAATCTGCTGGTTCACTCCCCAAATACCCAGAGCCAAAATTCCATTATGGCATCTCCTGTGAGTAATGGGGAGGCACAGCACTTGAGCCATGCAGACACATTAACAAGAAACTGGATCAGAAATGGAGCAGCTAGGACTTGAGTTGGCCTTGGCTTTACTAACCTCAAAAATCTTTTTCAATAGCATCTATTATTATGATCCATTTTCTTTCTTTCTTTCTTTCTTTCTTTCTTTCTTTCTTTCTTTCTTTCTTTCTTTCTTTCTTTCATTCTTTCTTTCTTTCTTTCTTTCTTTCTTTCTTCTATTTTTTTCCCCTTCTGGGAGAAAAGTGTAGTTTTAAAATTATTTTCTTCTTCATTTGAAAGTCAGAGACAAACAAAGATCTCTGCCAATTCATCCATCCCAAAAGGCCCACAGCAGCTGAGGCTGGGCCAGGAAGCAGGAGCTTCCTCTGGGCCTCCTTTATGGGTGGCGGGACCTGGGTACTTGAGGTATCCCGTGCTGCCTAGCAGGATGCATGTCATCAGGAGGCTGGATTGGAAAAGAAGCACGACTTGAACCCAGAACTCTGATAAAGCTTGTGGGTGTCTCAAGCAGTATCTTCACTGCTATAACAGATGTCCTTGTTGAGTTTTCTTTTTTTAAGAAAAGATTTGTTTATTCAAAAGAATGAGTGACAGAACCTGGGGTGGTAGCCAAGTGGCTAAAGTCCTTGCCTTGCACATTCTGGGATCCCATATGGGCTCAGGTTCGTATCCGGCTTACCCACATCCTATCCCATCCAGCTCCCTGCTTGTGGCCTAGGAAAGCAGTTGAGGACAGCCCAAAGCCTTGGGACCCTGTAGCTGCATGGGAGATCCAGAAAGAAGCTCCAGGCTCCTGGCTTCAGATGGGCTCAGCACCAGCTGTTACAGTCACTTGGGGAGTGAATCATCGGACAGAAGATCTTCCTCTGTTTCTCTCCTCCTTTCTTTGTATCTGACTTTCCAATAAAAATAAAAGGTTGAATGACAGAGCAAGAGACAGAGAAATCTTTCTTTGGATTTTTCACTGTCCGAACGTTCAAAACAGCCAGGGCTGAGACAAATTAGCCAAGAGCCAAGAACTCCATCTGGGTGTCCCATGAGGGTGGCCAGACCTAATTACTTGGGCCACCATCCACTGCTTTTCTGGACATTAGCAGGGGGCTGAATTGGGACATGGAGTAGCTTGGCCAGAACTAACCATCTGTCTTAAGCAGCAGTGGTCTTGTTGATTTTTCAATATGTTTCTTTTCTTGTTGAAGGTCCTTTAAGATCATTTAGCCCTGATTTCTCATCCTGTCAATTTACTATCAGAGTGACCTCACTATGTGTTTGAAATTCGGACTACATTTGACAGTTCTAATGATATTTAAATCCAGTAAACATTTAAACACAGAAACAAAGCAAGTGGACCTGGCAGGTAGTTATTTCTGTCTTGGCCTTGTTCTAATTTTACATATTTGTCCTTTTCCAATCCACCCCCAGTCCCAGCCCCACCTGTTCTTTATTTCATAGCATGGATTTAATCCCAGTGTTCTGTTTCAAAGAGAATGAGCAATATTTAATCTGGATATGTTTTCTAAAAATGCTTCAAGGTTCTTCTGAATAATTGTCTTTTTTTTTTTTTATTAAAGTTTTGTTAACTTCAAATAATTTAAAGTACAGCATAAGGAAACTTCAAAAAATGCATAGGAAAATATGAGTTTACAGAGCAGATGAAGATCAGCAGTTGTGAAATGCATAGCTTACACAGGGAGTCTGGGTTGGATTCCTGGCTGGCTCCTTACTGCTGCTACTTGCCATTGAGGACCCAGGAGGCAGCAGTAAAGATGCTGGTAACTGGGTTCGCATCACCATGTGAGATGCCTAGATCATGTTACTGGCGTCTGGCTCCAGACTCAAGTGTTGGGGAATGAGCCAGCAGATAGGAACACTTTGTCTCACTCTCTCTGGTTCTACCTCTCAGAAATCTATTTGAATATGACTTTATTTTGGTTATGAAATTTTTTCAGATCATTCAGAGATTTTTCCCAGTACAAATTTTCCATGTATTATGAAAGAAACTCTTTTGAGCCAACATAACTTATCTTTTACTTGCATTTATTGACTAGTTTTTTGAAGTACTCTCATGTTGCAATGTCTTCAACTTACTATACTGAAATAATAATCACTATTCCTAGCAGAAAAATATCTTGCTGAAAATGTACAGGCCTTTTATATCTTACACCAACTCAAAGAACATTCTTTTGCTTCTACCTTCTCAGCTGTGAGAGGAAAGCAGGTTTGTTCTGTTAGCTGGTCCTTCACTGACATGTTGAACTGTATACTGTGAAATGAATTGTGCTGCTTCTCCTACCTGCAAA